TGCATGTGGTCATATCTGCCTAAGTAAGGCAGGCCACAAAAATCATCAAACACCACACATGGAGAAAGTCATTCATGTGGCATTTATGCCACAACTACTACAAAAGACATTCAACATTGCCACATCTGCACAAGACAATGTATAAACCCTGACAGAAATAATAAGCCACATCCATACTTCCCATATTTAAGGATGGATCAGGTGATCACATTGAGTCAGAGCCCTCATCATATTGCACACACCTTTTTTTCTTCTCTTTCCAAGAATTATTGAAGATAATTATTAAGATAATCATTTTTGAAAAGATTTTGTGATAAAAAGTTAGAAACACAACAAAGAGGTTTTTTTAATCCATAAGTGAGATCAATAAGTCCATAGCTTACTATTGAAAAAGGTATTTATTCTATACAATGAATATTTACTTTTCAGCATAATCTCCTTCCTTGTCAATGCACTTAAAACAACACTTTTCCACTAATCATATAGATCAAATATTATGCACATAAAATTTAATATCAGAATTTAGTAACTAATTTCATTTCTGGCTACAAATTTATTGATTTAGGTTTGTAAATGCCTAAAAATCTTCAGAAGTTTCAAATTCTCTGATTAATTTGGAGTTTTTTTTATATTTATTTTATATTTTTTGTATTTGTTTATTTTTTTATTTATATATATATTTTGTATTTATTTTTGTATTTTCTGTCTACAAGTGAAAACTATTTACAGGATAACATAAATGATTTTAGTTCTTTGCCAATTATTCCTAGCCTAAATAGAGAGATTCTTTTTGAAATAATTCAATAGCTGAAATTCTTTTCCAGTCATGTATTTTAAATGTTATAAATGTACACTTCTTGAAATATGAACTTGCAGCTCAAAATTTGTTTTTATATATCAGATTGTGTTGAATAGTAATTAAAATTAATACTTATTCTCCTGTTTTGGGGACAGAAATTGTCAAAACAAATTGACATGGCTGAATTCATTTCATGCAGATATTTTTATCTTAGGATTAATGAAAATAGAGTTTAAATCAAAAGCTGTTTCTTTTTTTCTTTATAATTTCACCTTACAGCCATATTACTTTGAAACACTGGTACTTGTCTGATCATCAAGTTAAGCAATATAGAGCCTAGTTAGAACCTAGATGAGTGACTGCTTGGGAATACCAGCTGCTATAACTTTGGATGTGCAGAACGTGTAATTGATAATGGCTGGAAATGAGAAATCGGAGATCCGAGTTTGAATTCCAATTGAGTTTGTTACATTCACTTATATGAAAGGTATGAATCCATCTTTTCTCTCCCTAGTTATGGGTTAAATAGCAGGACAGATTGAGTCCTTTAGCTTTGGTTAGCAATCAGTCTACTGCACAAAATTACAGCAACCTACCGTGGGAATTCTGCTAAGTCAATCATAAATCAAAAAGAGACATGATCACTCAAGCATGTATCATGAATGGCACCTAAGGGAAGATTGTGGACTTTCCTCTACGGATGAACAAATGTTAGATCAAATGAAATTGTTAATGGCTAACACCAAATTCATGTGTGCAATTTGTTTATCACTGAAACTTGACTGATTTGATTATTTTGTTTTACACACAACTGATTAAGGAGAAGCAGAAGAGCAGTCATAATACTTTCAATGCAATACAAATGGTAATAGTAATATGAGCTGTTTCCCTACAAGGAAATATTTGGCATTTATTGATCGAGCAACCAGTATTGCTTTTGGTTGAAATTTATAAAATCTTAAAACAATTTTTCAGGAAAATAAGTTTCTCAAATTTAGTATCTGTTATCCCTCTTTTCATTATTGATGGGGGGGGGTTCCATCCTAATCTTCTGTTTGAAGTGCAATGCCAACATCTTGATTATGTCATTATTTTTTCATTGAGCTACATGTGCTATCCATTTAAGTTGTTGCTGCTGTTAATAGTCCTCAAGTGTTGTAGTTTCTGTTATTTGGTACAGTCCTTTGTTTGTGATTCTGTAGCACCAGTCCACAATGTTCAAAAGATGACCTTTGCCAAGACAAGCCCCAGGCTTTTTACTCACTCAAAGCCTTTTTGTTTACCATTGATCTTGGGAAGCGATTGAAATCTTTAAATCTAAGCTTTAAACCACAGTAAAAGTTTAGTTCTTAAATGAAGCTTTGTTCATAAATTGTCAAACAAAAAGGCTTATATGATCAAAGATGAAAGCCTTAAAAATGCTTGAAACTAGAGTTAAAGTGATGCCAATACACTGCCTTAATGTTCATCACAAAAATTTGTGTTTCACTTCATCAGTAAAAATCAGTCTCAATTGTTTGATGAGTCTTCATCTAATAATGTAATTATTGAATGTGAGAAAAACCGCCATAAGTTGTTATTGATAACATAAATGTCAGAGCCAAGACACATAGGGAGCCGCCATATTGTATGGCTGACTGCAGAGGGAAGTAATATTAATGATGAGAAGAAGTTTTTTTATTTGGTTGGCCAATATGAAACAAAATGCAATGCAACATTACTGATTCTCTTTTTCTCGATTAATATCTGCTGGTCGTTGTTTTCTTTTTCAAATTGCTTAAAAAATTTATGAAATAACTTTTAAAAATCAACAAAGTCTTCTAACTGGATTCATAAATATAAAAGAATGGACTTCATTGAGAGGCTGACTGTGACAGAAAACTAGATTTTTTTGTAGATGTTCCTAAGTATGAGAGATTGTGTTTATGGGGATCAGTCTATATTTTTGTGGGTGTGTGTGTTCTGCCAGTCTCTTTCTCACACTCATCCAAATTGCCCAATTTGATTAATATCTCTTATTTGATCTCATCCAATTTCCTCATATTTTAATCTTACAATTTTGTCATGTTTTGATCCTACAATTTTTCTGTGTTTTTATCTTCCAACTTTTTCATATTTTAAGAGATCTTTCCCTACATAAAATTCTCCCAAACAATGCATATAAAACGTGATGCTGATATTTTCAGGATATAAATTTTCTTGACAACCTGATACTTGCTTAATAAATAAATAATTGCTTACCATTTCTTTAGTGTTTACTTGGTTCATTGCATTCACACCATTTTTTGAGTCACTTCATTTTTTATTAATCCCTGAGATCAAATAGTGATAAAAATAAATAGTTGAAAACTCCAATTATTGATACTGAAGCAATTATTTTTTTACTTGGTTAAAGAACAAGCCAAATACAAAAAGTTGGATTTGAAATGAGCCTTTATTTTGGGGATAAAAAGTCAAAGAAACCCAAGTCCAATCTCTGCCAAATTTCAGGTTCAAGGCCATTTCACAGATACCAAAACACAATTTGTAGGTGGGAGTATTTTATTAGAAAAATAATATGCTACATGAAATGACTTTATTGCCAGGTCGGAAATTCCAGACATTATTATTTATATATCTTTTTTATAGCATTTTTACACTTGTCATTTTTTACATCAATCTTATTTATGGACATTTACTTGATGTGCTTGTCACTTTTTTTTTATTATTCTGTTTCTATTTGAATGCATTTGTTTTTTTTTCTTATACATCCCACCATCAGCTCTGTCTTACCCAACCCACTTTGTTTGGATCTTGATGTATAACTAGGAGGCATTATATGACACCCATACAGTAGGCTGAACAGATAATTAATATGATTGTTTCAATAGAATGACTTGTGTCTTTTAAAAAATGAAAATAAATCCAGAAAGTGAGTGAGGAAAATGAATAACTTCATCCCTCCCACCTGCTGACTTGCTCTCTCATGCAGCAGCAGAAGACTTGCACAGAAATCAATTGGCTTACATCATTCATTTGGGTAAGAGGAATAAGGGAATAGGCATTTGTTAAAGAAATTAACCCAAAATATCAGACACCCAATAAACAACAAAGTTGGTTACTCTCTCATTCCAACCTTTTCAAAATAGTAGAGCAACTAATATAAACAATGTGTGTATTGCTGGCCATTTTATAATCCTGTGTTTGTTTATATTGTCTACATCTTCCTGAATTAATATTTGAGAGGTGATCCAGTCATGCTAAATGATAATTTTTCATTTGTCAGAAAACACAAGGATATACAAAATACTGCTATTTGGAAAGTGAAAATTAAATTTACTCTTTTTCTTTGCATGTAAAGAGTTTGGCAACATTAAAGCTATTTAGTCTTGAACAAGATAAAGATGAGTGAAAGACAACTAGAATGATTATGTTACACCAGTTTCCCAACTGGAGCCTGCTTACAAATAGAATAGTGTAATTGCCTTGAAACAACTATTCCAGCCACCAAGCAATTCATAACTGTATATATGACAAACAAGGAATGTTTGATAGCAGGAGAACACATGGTTGCCTTGGGTAAAATGAACATTCAAAATAAATCTTTGTATTCTGACTAATGACAAAAGATGTATATTTTTGAATGGGAAAGATTTCACTTCTTAAAATTATGGAAAATATAGTTTCTCTTGTTTCATAGTCCTTTCTCAGTAGAAATTCATTGTCTGCTTCACTTTGTTAAAAGAACTCTTCTCCTAAAAAATCATCAGGTAGAAAATTATGCAACTATTGAATGTCTAGAGTCTTTGCTCTTTGGACAATTTCAAGATTGGAAAGCATTTCTGAAAAAAATTGTGGATGTTGGTTTCTGATTAATAAATAATGCATTAGGTTATTATGTCAAGCTTAACAATGGGAATAATAGTTTTTGGCTGCTCCTGCTTGGGAGACAGGTATGGAGAAGCAGTATTCTAAGGTCTCCTCTCACTCAATCATTTTCCATTAACTATTATAGCATGCAAGTGACCTCTTCTCAAGATGTGACAAGACAAAGATCAGGAAAAATTGGATTCATGCCTTTCCCAAGTGTGAAGTAATTATAAACAGCATCAGTTAGAATTTGAACATGATTTGCTAATTCCATTTTTTATGTTGCTAATTATGAAATGGTCTCAATCTTTATTTCATTCCAGAAGATATAGGGAAGACAATTAAAATTGAACAAACATAATTGTTTTTTTAGGAATAATAATGAAATATGTGTTACTTTTTTTTATATTGTCCTTTCTTTCTCTGTCTATTAACTTCTGTCAATGTTAAAGCAAGCAAATATGTAAAATTAATAAGTGAATCCAGATCTGATTCAAATGTCCAACCTAGATGCAATCAAACAGATATATATATATATATATATATATATATATATAGCTTAAAAGCCACCCTATCAGGTGGCATTTAACCTAGCTCCTGCAAAGAGCTTTTGATTGGGCCTTTGACACAACAATGACACTTCATGCATTGAGTGCATATTAAATTTTATTAAACTTGAACAAAATTTTTCAAACAATTCTTTTCATCAAAACAGTGATATAATTTGTATATTTAGAAGTTATTGCAAAGCTGAATGATAAACAACATTTTTGGTTTTCCCATTCAGGGTTAGTACATACAGCTTGTTTCCATTCCCAACCCTTGAACAACTGAATTTGAAGAACTGGATTTGAGAAAAGCAGGGTTCCATCAGATAAAGTCCAGTTATTTTCAATGATTGTCCCTGGGACTTATTGATTGACATTGCATAGCTCGCTCTCACTGGAAACTGAAATCTTTTGAACTCAAAAGGAAGATCTGAAGGAATTAATGGGATTCTTGAAATTAAAACTATTTCCTCCTTTCCTGGACCAGTAAGGATCACTGCTTTCAAGAGATGAGGAAGCAGCTTCTTGACAATTAACCAAGGAAATACCAAGTTAAACCACGTTAATCTCTCTGGTTCTCTCTTGCTTGCTTGGCCACTATAGCCAACAGGAATCACGTACCAGGGTGACAAGTCCAATTGCAATAAACGTCTCTTTGTCTCTGCCCATAATGAATGCAAGTGTGTCCTCAATGAAGTCAAATTACTGTTTGCTGGCAGAATGAATTAGTGTATAGCATCTAGTCAGTTTGGTTCAAGAGATTATTGGCAGCTCTGTAAGTGTGTGCTGAGCAACAGTAAATCCTCAATCCCTCCCCTATTCAACCAATTCAAAGTCCTGACATCCACAGAAGATAAGACAGAATGCTTTGCTCCAAAATTCTCATCTAATTCAACACTCTACTCATCTGGAGTACCTATACCTGATTTTTCCCCCTATAACTGATGCTCTACTGAGTGATATATGCATAACCCCCCTCGCTGGTCTCAGACATCATTTCTAAATTAGACCCTCATAAGGCAAGTGGAGATAATGGAATACCAGCTGTTGTCCTAAAGCTCCTGAGCTGACCCAGTTCTCTCCAAACTTGATGTTTCCTGCTTTCCAGCTTGTTGGAAGTCCATGTCTGTAATCTTTGGATTTAAGAATTCTGTAGAACCTTCTGACCTCTCTAACTACCACCCTATCAGTCTCCTACCACTTTTTGGCAAAGTCATCAAGGCTTTAATCAATGCTGAAGTGGTTGAGCATCTTACCTCTCAAGACCTACTCCCTGATGAACAATATGGATTCCGTTTTGCCCGGTCTACCACTGATGTGTTTACAGCCATAACTGAATATGTATACCATGCTCTCGATAATATGGCAAAGCTCAAGCTGTGGCTCTAGATACCTCAAAGGTGTTTGACAGGGTTTGGCATACTGGTCTTCTGCATAAGCTTGAGGGTTATATTATTACAGGACAACCATCTGATTTAATCTAATCATGCCTTTCAAATCTTGAAATGAAGGTTTTTCTGAATGGGTGCACTTCTAGATCCTTTCTTATGAATGCAGGGGTCCCCCCCCCCAAGGCTCTATACTGGATCATACACTGTTTCTGATCTTCATCAATGATCTTCTTGATATCATCAGCTCTCAAGTAGGTATCTATACAGAAGACACTACTATTTACTCCTGTCTCAATAGTTAACCTGATAGTGCTGACAAAGTCAACCTGGCCACTGCTCTCAAAAAGGTCCTTCAATCAGTCATTAACTGGGGTAGGAAATAGCTTGTAAATTTTAATGCCTCCAAAATGAAACTGCTCTCATTTTGCCACCACAGAGATAATTCCCTGCCTGACACTAGCATGGTTGATGCTAGATTCCAGGAGAGGGTCTCACTGCACCTTCTTGGCTTTAGACTTTCAAATGACTTCAAGTGGAACAGCTACATTGAATCAATAGCTTTATCTGCTGCAAAGAAAGTTGCCTCTCTGTTGTGCCAGAAGTTTTTTTCTTGTCAGACTCCATCTTACATATATACAAATCTACCATTCGCCCATGCATCGAGTATTATTGCCATATGTGGTCTGGTGCCCCAGATGTTCATCTTGAGGTTCTTGACAAAATCCAAAGAAGAATCTGCAATGTAATCGATCCAGACTTGGCATCTTGACTTCAGTCACTTTCTCACAGATGTGATGTGGCTTCTCTCTGTCTTTTCTACAAATATTTTCATGGCAACTGTTCTAGAGCTTTTTTTTCCTGGTACCCTGACTACATGAATTTAAACATGCTACTAGACTAGCATCTAGGTCCT